CATAGAAACTTTTGTTTTGCATAGAAACATGAGGTAAAGTATATTTGCATCCACACCCTTGTGGGCAACAGACACACAAAATCCTAAATAATCTGCCTTGCTACTTTAACACCAGGCTTCATCTGACCTATGCAGAGAAAACATTGGGGCCCTACTTATTCCAGGTCTGTTTGCTGGTATTCAAAAGCTATGCACAGAAGCAGTGATTCGTGGATGTTGGGTGTTCACTCTGCATGGATCTACCACTTGGTAGTCTAAGCAATCTGTGTAGGTTCCCAGAGACCCTCACATCCTCTCAGTGCAAGGCTATACAAAAAAAAATCCTAAATGCCTATTTTCTATGACAGAAATGCAAACTTTGCAGTTATTTAAAGTACACTTTTCAATAACTTCCCAAGTAAGATGTACTGCATTTTAAAGCTTTTTTGTCTTAATTTCTAAGAGTTTCACAATAATGATATGTTCTGAATTTGAAAAGATGTTAGGCATATTTTGGAGCTTAGGAACTTTATAAAATACACATGAATTACTTTTGTAACTAAAATACAGACCTGCTGTTACATTATGTTTAAATTTTACTTTATACCTGATAGGAACTGTAGCTCAAATTGTTTTTTTTTTATAGTATTTTTAAGAGATTATGTTGTAAAGTAGGGTACCTGGAGTTTGAGGATAAATTCAAAACCATCCTCAGATATCTTCAATGTTCTTGCCAAACTTTTTTTATTTATTTATTTTTAAAATTTTTTTATTATTCATATGTGCATACAAGGCTTGGGTCATTTCTCCCCGCTGCCCCCACCCCCTCCCTTACCACCCACCCCGCCCCCTCCCTCTCCCCCACCCCCTCAATACCCAGCTTCCTGCCAATCTTAATTTCAATCCTTCAATCTAAGATTTCCATATTTAACTTACTTTCAGAGCATTTCCTGAACAAATTATTTTGTATGCTAGAGAGTGAGTATGTGATTTCCTGTGTTAAACAATCTCCCTTTTCCCTCCACACAGTGAGCATGGCCGCAAGCCAGCTCACAGGGGCTGTGGCCAGCCGTTCTGGTCCTGGGGGTGATTTTTGGAGGCACAGGGTGGGGAATAGAGTAAGCATCCTATGAGTTTCCCTGTGTTTCTGTTTGGTGCCTGGTGTGTAAGGTGTTGTGTGGAACCTGACTCCTCCATGTTCCGTCTTGTTGACTGTTTCCTGTGGTGGTGCAACTTGTGGTGTGACTTGAGTGTGTTTGTGTCTTGTAGTTTTCTCGTGCAACATAGAACCTTCTCCTATCTGGAACAGTGTGGGGCATGAATCAGTGTTAGGGGTGCTTATGATATAGTCACAATTAAGGCAATAGTCCAAAACTTCCATTGCTCCTTCACTTAATTTTAAAAACAAACTTAGAATTTTTTTTATTATTAATTGGCAAAAGTGATTTTTTATAAATGTTTTCTTAGGATTAGTATAATGTATTTCCTCTTCAGTCAAATAAATCTGCATACATAATTAGTAATTATCAAAAGTTATGGCATTTTTTTAAAAGTTAGCAAGAACGAGAACCACTTAATGTTTTCTCCATTTATTTAGAATGTTACAGGAGGCTTCACTTCAATTTTTTAAAAGAAGATATTTAGAACACTGCCTTAATTTTTTACCTATAAAATAGGTTAAGAATTCAAATTTGAAGTTTGCATAAATATCTAGGAGCAAAGAACATTAAGGGTCTAAAGATAATGAATTCAGTCTTGCCAAATCTTCATTGAGCAACTGCAGTTTATCTGGTGGTTTGTCTTAAAAGTATCCAGTGTTGTGTGCTGCTTGCCCATTAAGCTCTCTCAGAAATACAGCTCTCCTAGGGCCTTTATTTAGGTTGCTCTGCACTTGATCCACATCCTCAAAATAGCATCAGTTCTCCACAGGGTACCACTTCAGGAGATCACTAAAGTATAGACTAGATTATCAGGATGCTTTCCTCACTCTAGAATTACAGAGAGGGCATTTACAAATGACAGAAGTAGCCCTCACACTCTGTCTCCTCTGTTTACTGAGATGGTGGTATTAACACTTCACAGTGGGCCAGAAATGAGTTATTAGAATGTCAAGTATTCACCAGCCAGCCTTTACTTGACCAGCCCATGTCAGGAGCATGCTAATAATGTTTGACATGGTCCTCAGTCTCCATCACAGCACACATACATTCTTACATCCTGCCATTGGGAGACCCAGATACTGAAAGGGTATTATGGGAGGAGCAGGTGCATAGGCCACACTTTGTGTGGAAGATGACATGAACCTGCTCTCCTCTGGATGAATTGACTTTGGCCAGTCTTGGATCCTTTAACTCATATCCCATCAGTATGGACTGTGAAGCTGGTTAATCCAGGAGAGGAAGTGCTAGAAGAGATGCTGTTTCTCCTTCTTAGAAAATAAAGTACATAGCAGAGTTAAAATATTTAGAGACAACAAGAACTTTGTCCTGTAAAATTTCACCTGAGTCTGTTGACTGTTACATACTCTCAGTAGCATTCCTTTCCCAAGGGCAATTCTGGGCATACACTTCAGTGAAATTCCTCCAAGAAGAAAGGTAGTTTTCTAAAAATCATCCCAAACGTGTTTCTTAAACATTACTTATTGACCATAATTTGGGGCCCGGAAATACTACTAATTGAAGGGATGGAGTCATTGTTGTAAAATAGTCCTCGTTACCAGCATTTGTTTCTACCCATCCTTTCCAGTGTTGTTGGTTTGTCCTATTTCTGGTTGTGACAGGTAAGTCTGTATAAGTATATAAATATTTTTCTAAAACTACATGTTACTATTCTTGTTTTATGAACTCTTTTCTCATAGTAGTTTACTGATCTTTTTCCATCAAATTCTAGGTTTTATCTTAGTTGCTAAGTAAATAGAGTTCTTTAAAAACAAAAAGTCACATAGCACAATGCAGATTGTTGCAACCCCTACTGGTTTAACTGGCAGTGTAATGCTCACTTAGTTACTAGGGATTCCATGGACAGATTAAAAACTTTTTTCTTTTTTCTACTTCTTAGTTTGTAACTGCAAATCAGGAATCTTTTCTCATGGATTATGTGACTGTGTCTGATCCCAGTCTGTGTTTTCTGAGCTAGCAAAGGCAAACTGAAGCATAGAGTATATACATGGCAGTACAAATATTTTCAAGTGCCTGTTTCAAAACTTGGTAGGAGCTATGACCATTGAGATGTGGGGAGGAAATGCATGCAAATGAAATAAACTTCATCATAGCGAGGGTTAGCAAATCTTCTATAAAAGGCCAGCTAGTAACTAGTGTATGCTTTCAGGCTACAAGGTGTTTATTCCAGCTTCTCAGCATTACTGTCTTAGTAAAAAAAAAAAAAAAGTAGTCACATGCAGGATGTGAACAAATAAGCGTGGCTGTGTTCCAATGAAATGTCTTAGCAGAATCAGGTGGTGAGGCCAGTGTTGCTTGTGGCCTTTGGCTTGCTGACCCTTGATTTGTAGCCCAAGTTTTATTAGAGTCAGACAGATCTGTATTCAGATTTTGCTCCATAACCTATTGACTTCTAGGATCCTCTGTTTCTCATGTATTGGAAGGGATAGTCATAGTTTCTACCTCAGATGGCTTTTGTAAGTTCAAATGAGATGCTATGACAAGAGCTGTCCCTGGTACATTGTAAGTGCTCAATATACAGTTGCTTCACTGCTTTTATTGCTCTCATTATTGTTATTTTTTATTATTGGTGTATCTCTAAGAGCCACCGCAATCGATGTTCTGCAGACCTGAGTGGTTTAAGACCATGTCAGAGTCCACAAACCTGAAGAGACTCGCATCCCTGGTGCTCCGTTGCACATGTCTTTCCCCTGTTCACACCCACAAGTGCTGGGTGGTCTCTGGGTAAAAACATCATGCACACACTTGCTGTCAAAAGTGACATCCATTTATGTACAGAGTTGAGGGCACTGATGTGAGCAGAAAAGAGAATTTTTTTACACAGAAATAAATGTGTATATGAACTCAAGGATTTTAAAAGAAGAAGCAAAGTTGGCCTTGTGACTAAAAATGTCTTTGATATTAGGGGTACTGTATCTGCATATTAGCATCCTGGAGGATGTGACACTTAAAATAATTCTTAGTTTACACATTTAAACTAAATGTAACATAGCTTAGTTTTTAAATGCTGAATGAAGGAGGTGAGTGAAATTGCTATGTTATCAGTTCTTATTCAGCAATTGATAGACACTCCACATCATATTTGTTTTCTTGCTGTCCTTCCCACTCTTTTTTTACATATGCCCAAGCCTCAGATTTCTCTTAATAAAAATGGGTGCTTAAGTGGTATTTTTAGCTGCATCTAAGAAGTTATTTTTTCATTTTCTCCAAATTACACAAATTAATTTTATGCTTCCTTTATGCCTTGCCTTCAGATCCCCATTTTGTTGTTTTAACTCTTTAAAGACCAGGAAGAAATATTTCCTTGAGAACAAAGCTTTAAAGTTGATCTTTATTGGTAGCCACCTTCTGCCTTCTAAATTTTAACTGTGTCCAAGTATGGAGTAAAAAGGCATTCAGACAACTCTGTGTTGCTTGGAAGAAGACTTTCATAGAATAATTTTCCTTCTTTCCACTCCCTTATTTGGCAGTCAAGTTGGGCTAATTCTAGTGCAATAATGTTCCTTACGTGCATTTACTTGTTTGATTTGATTTATGATACTGGGTAAGGAGGAAGAGGAGACCAAAGACATGCAAGGAAAGCAAATGATTTGCTTCAAATTCTGCAAAGGTGAATTTAACTGTCAACAGTACAGTAACTTTAGATTTAAAGGCATAGAAATCCAAGCAGTCAGTGACCGTGGCATCTAAAGTGCAAGTAAGTTGAATAAATAAAGGTGATCTAACTGTTAGTGATCTTGTACAGCAGAGTATTTACCTCCTGAAACTGCTTAACTGCCTTTCCCTTGTAGTAATGAAAGTGGTTGGCTCATACAACTTTCTTCCCATGATCCTTTGTCACAGGTCCTAGTGCCACCAATCTCATAATAGGCTCCATCGCTGGTGCCATCCTGGTAGCAGCTATTGTCCTTGGGGGCACAGGCTGGGGATTTAAGTAAGCAATGCCGCATGTCTTCTTCTCTGTGGCTCTGGCACTTCTCTTTTCTGCTTACATAACCCAGTTTTGAGTTCCTGCTACAAGATTTTAAGTGTTAGTAGCAAAACTGCAAAATATATGTATATATATATATATATATTTTACTCAGAAGTGGGTGAGAAAAGGAGAAATACGGAGCTTCAAATGTCATTTTCAGGCAAGTGGAAAAAAATGGAAAGTAGGGGAAATTCACAGCACTCATTTAGGAACAAAGTAGAAATTCCTTACTAGGAGATATTTCAGCTTGTAGGAGCAAGCCTTCTGAAATACTTTCATTTGTACACAGTCAAGGAAATAAATTGGAAATAAATATGAATTCCTGCTTAAAACTGGTTTATAATCCATTGAAATTTTTATGCCCTCTGTTAACCAGGTGGTAATCATTTTTCACATGGAACATATGTAACTCTGTGATTTGAAATCTTCTTTATTTATAAAATTTTTTAAAAATAGATTTTCAATTAATCCGCTAACCAACTAAATTGGCTTCAGTTTGGAATTTGAAGTGGATAGATTTATAACACTTAATATTTTCTAATTAACTGCTACTATTGACAAAACTGACAGGCCTGGTGTATTTTCATCGTGACCTTTTAGTTTGGATTGCATGTTGATCACTCAACTAAGATTGTTTAAATAGACAATGCTGGCTAGTCACAAATAAACCTTAATTATGATGAAAAATTTTAAACCCAGTTTATCTAGTTTAGATGTTTCTATATCTCAGATTCCTTGGATAATCATTTTTTATATCATTTTGTGCTAAGGTGACTTGATCATTTTGATTTTGTAAATAAGCCCTCTTCTGCCAAAGATTCCCTGTAATAAATTTTCAACTGTATCTGTTGAAACAACTTTAAGTGTGACATAAGACTATTATCCAAATTCAAAACCCACTTTGCCTCTATCCAACTCAGTTTTGCCCTGAACTAAGAGAATGGCTGTCTTAATTATGAACTTTATTTTATATTTAGACTCCTGAATTCAGTACACATTTAAACCATCTAAAATGTGATTATTAGAAGCTGATTATGAAAGAAAAAATACCCAAAGATGATTTTAATAAATTCAGTAAACATTTTTGATTCATTAAACATTTTTTGTTAATTTATTATCATATTAAGGTTTAATGAGTAAGTCTGCAGTTTTTGGGTGGCTTCAACTTGGAAAGGTGTTATCTAGAGATGTTTATGAAGTTGAGCTTCTGTAGTGAAATAGTACTTTGACACCAGCATGCGTGCAGAAATATGAACAAAATGGGCATCTGATATTTGGATACAAGGCATTGCCCAGACAGTGAGTCACTCACGTGACATCTCAGAAACAATGCGTTTTTGTTTGGACTGGCATCATTCCAGCAAAAACTTCTTAGTGTCTCACTACTGTAAAGAAGTCATTGTACATTATAGTGATGCTGTATTCTATTGTTTATAATGTTCTTTTCTCAAAAATGTGTCTCAAGAAAAAGGCATTTGTCTTGTGCCCAAGCATATGCCTTCTTGACATTGAGAAACCTGTCTCAAAGGCCAGGGGGACAGTCACTGTGCATCACTGCCATGCAGCCATATGCAGTACCAAATTTACCATTTCAGCATTTGGAGAGAAGTGCATACTCTTCTGTAGCAGGACCTCAAAACAGTGGCCTGGCCTAGCTCACGGCTTGAATTGCATGTTTCTTTGGGGGAGAAGCCTTTGTCACTGTGTATATAAATGGATTAGGCCTTGTACAGATGACTTATGTCTGAAGGAGATGTTGAATAATCAGAAGAGTAGGAAAAAAGCGGGGAATTGACACAGAGTCACAGAGCAAGGTGTGAGCCAGTCTCTGCTGACTGCCACGTGAGGATCGTGGAGCAGGTATCCATCTATCTGAGATAAGTCAGGCCTTTCCCATGCCCTGTGACTCTAATAGTTACTTTAAGGGAAAACTTTGTAGAAAGGCATGCAATATCATGCAGTAAATATTGTCATGCCCTGAAACAAAACAACAACAACAAAAAACCAAAAAATGAGGACTAAGAGTGATTCTCAAATATGTGACTTGAGGAGTTTGAATGTGCACAAGCTGTTGTACTTCATGCTGACTCTTTAGTTGCAAAATGATTTGCTTTAGATTTTTATGATAGCTCTGTGATTTAAGTCTCACATAATTATTTTTACTTTGCAACAAAAGTCTTTTCAGTGATAATGTTTAGATTTTCCTACCACATGGGGAATTTTGGAAACTATTAGCCTGGAGATAACTTGGAAGTATAATAATTTGAGTTGAACTGAAAGCTTTTGAAAGTTTCATTGAGTTCAATGTAAATAAAACCAGTGGTTCCCTTAGAATCTGAAGTTGAAAATAGTTGGTAAAGAAGATTGCTCTAAATGTCACTATTGGGAATCCTTCTTGAAATCAGGCTTTAGTACTAGAAGAGAAATTAGCACCTGAAGAATTTGAGGGTGCTATAAACTTTTAGATTAAAGGAAACTGTATTAAATGCTCAGGGAAGAGACTGTTTTTTCTTACTACCATGTTTCTTTAGTTGTAATACTCTGAGTAATTTAAATGTGCAGAAAGTGTCATATTAGCCATGACCTGCTCAAACACACAAATACGAACAACTACAGCTGTGCTGTGAGCCCTGGCATTGCCGCCTTATCTCTATAATTCTGTTATTAAACTGTATTTCTTATGAAATGGGTGATCAAAAAGCATGAGTATGAGAGCATGTGTGAATGTGTGCACTTATATGTGTGTAAAATGGTGTTTTGAGATTATTGTGGTCTGAAATTCATTGAGATTTATATTGCTTCTTTTCAACAAAATAGTAGAGTCTGAAAACCTTTGGTAATGCAAAAAAGACTTGCACAAGCAAGGCTACAGAATGCCTGAAAAGAAAAAAACACTTTTTTGGGGGTGAGATACTATTATTTTATTTTATATATTCTCACATATTGAGTAATGTGGTGGGTATACATTAGTGTCTTTGATTAATCCCATACTCCATACTCCAGAAGTATGAGGATACAAGGGAAGATTTCCTTTATAGGTTCCTAGGTATGGGTCTTAAGATTTAGGGTGAGGCTGCCTGTATATTTTCAACACCCAGAAATTCTAAAGATACATGAAACAAGGAAAAGGTCTGTTCTGAGTCCTGTTCGCTCGGTCGAGAGTGACTGATAAAATTAACACGGAGGGTAGGAGGATGCACAACGAGCATTCTGTTTCTTTTCTATAGGTTGTGGGTATGTTTTGTATTTGTCCACATTTTGTAGTATAGAATAATTCATATTGAAATTCCAAATTTAAGACATTTTTCCTATAGCAATAAAAGTTCTCTTTTGGTTGGGAATGCCCTATCCCTACTCTTCACCTGGAAGATTCGTCAGTGTCCAACTCAAAACAAAAGTAATAGCATCACTGTTCCTTGGCTTTCCTGTCTACAAAATGTACATAACAGAAACTTCATAAAACTGTTGTGAGAATGAACTGGAAAAAAAAAGATTTAGTCTGAGAAATTCTGTGGAAAATGATTGTAGGCACATCATAGCTTCCCAGTTTATCCATTGCCTCCCCATATCTGCATTTATTTCTATTCACCCCATCCTCTCTCCAGCACCTGCACACAGGATATGACCTATGGCACAGAGGATTGCTAACCTCTGTCCTTGTTCACTCATGGAGGCTCCTGACACCTACTTAATGCTGAATAATAATGCTGGTTAATTAGCTGTTAGAGCTCTTGTTTTTACTGTAACAAATGAAGGCAGGTCATTGTAGTAGCATCTTCCCTAAAAATTGCTAGGAAAAATAAAACAGGAATTTTATATATGCATTTAAAATGAAGAGAATTGTTAATACCTTGCAGGAAGCCATTTATCTGACATTCTCTAAATTTGATATGAGCGATGTGGTTATTTATATGCACATAATGTTTATCGATATCATAGTTGATTGCAGTAGGAAAAGAGAAGTTCTCAGTGATGGTAGGAAAGAATATGAAGGTAACAGTGACATAGTTTCTTGACAGTTGAAATCACATGGATTGCAGGATGAATACGGAGTGAGGTCTTCCACCATACTGCAAGCCTTCATCAGTGGAGCACCATCACGTGACCCTCCATCCCACTTGCTCTCTCCATGGGACCCAATGGCACAGTGGGTTTCCACTGCCACTGCCAGTAGCTATGATGACCTTCTAGAGCAGCTCTTGACATTTAAGTGTTCATTTAAGAATCATGTAATTATTACAAGTAGCTTCCTCTCTCAAAAGTTACAAGTTCATACTGAGCCTGCTTCTGGCTCTAAGTGATTCTTTTTGACCTATGTTCCATTTTGTTAAGATACGCTAAGGAAAAGATTGTCTGTTATTCCTATAAAATGAAATTTAAGGGACCATATCTAGGAAAGTAACTTAATCTTGCTAATTATATTTTTTTTCAAAAAGATCAAATGTCTTTTTGGGAGGGTGGGTTTTTGATTTTTACAGAATTAGGAAATCGAATCAATTTTAAGTAGTTTTTCCATAACAAGTGTAACCAGAGTGCTGCTTTTCTAAACTCCATGACTATATTCCAGTGTAAAATAAGGATCCCATTTCCTTAATGCCTAGAACCCCTGGGTTAGGCACTTTCTTATTTAAACTTGCAGGTGGTGGTGGTAGTGCTAGGCAGGAAGACACTGCATTTCCTTGACTTAGCCCCCTGAGGACATGAACTCAGTTTAAGTTATCTGAAGAGGGCTTGGGTCAAGGTCCTTGGTGGTGGGTGGGGGACTCATAGAAAGACAAGAATGTGATAGTAGTAGGTAACTATAGGCCCTTAGAAGAAAATCTGAAGGCCTTACAACTCGGAGGTAGCTCTTGTTACCTGGACAGTTTTAATTTTATATAGACATACATGTATATAATAATAGATGCATTACAGACAAAAAAAAGCCTGGGCTTTTCAGAAGTAGTAAAAATTGATGACAATTGTGTCATTGTAAGATTTATGGATTATGCTGATATTTTGTAATGATCCAGAAATACCAAGTAGTTCTAATGAGAAAACCAATTGCCTTCAGAATTCCAGTGAGCAGAAGCTATTCAGAGGAAACAGTTTTGGAAGGTAGATAGCAAAGACCTACCCACACTGGTTGTACTTTCATATTAAATTGAACAAAAAGAATTTTGTTTTCATGTAGAAAGCTCAGGACAGGTAGTTCTCAAAATGCAGTGGCCCATGGTGGATTTATGGTTTACACATAAGAAAGCCCCAGTCAGCTTGCTGCAGGGGTGGCCTTATCTGTTCTCCTTGCTGCTCCTCCAGCTTGCTTTCCCCCTGTTGGGACATCGGTGGAAGAGAAAAGGCCTTCCAATCCCCATTGGTGTTTAGTACTGAAAAATATATGGTTCTGCAGGGTGACTTGGTCTGGCCAAAGAACCCAGTGACCCTATGAAATACTGTTTCTATAAAAAAGTGCAAGCTAAGCTTTGAAAACTGACTTTTAAGAGGAGCACCCACTTTTGGACACCAGTGGTTGCCTGGATACCAGGTCAAAATAGAATTTCATCTCTCCACTTATAAATGAACCATGTTGCCGTTATGACCTACACCATGGCAGTGTGTCTGATGTTCCCTGCATTTGAATTAAGGAATTTAGATGTAAGCAGTATAGTTATTTACATTCATAATACTAGATTGATTTGCTTTTTTCCCTTTGCATTTAGATTAATTGGGCAGACATTAATATTTCTGCTGAGTTACAGCAATATATGGCTAACTAGTTTGGAGCTGTTGCTCCTCCAGAGTCATTCTCAAGGGCAGGCAGTCACTGCTTCTCCTACCTGACTCACAAGGGGTAATCATGGCTCCTTAAGCATCTACTTTGGAGAGCGTGAACTTGATTGGTGTTCCCAGATCCTGTGCTCCACAGCAAACTAATTCAGTGAAAGAGACATTGTGAAAGACTTCCGATTTGGTCTCACTTCTGTTTTCTGGGCAGCATCAGCAATGCCTGCTTTCAAGAACATTGATTCAAAAGAGGGCTGGGTGGCAATGGTGAAGAACAGTAAGTAGCTCTGTGACAAACAGTGTTTGCTCAAAGGATTATCTGCTTACGCCATTTGTGAAGTTGTTTTAATGAAAACTTTTTAGAAAAAAGGGAGAGTTTCTTCACAGTTATTTATGTTTGATACTTCTCAAGAGAAGCATCAAAGTGGTCATCTTGTTACAAATAAGAACTTTGCAGGATGGCTTTCTACACGTTTTGAGCTTTAGTAGTGTTTTTACTTCAAATTACTTATGGAGGAGGAGGGATCTTTTGCAATCTTTTTGGTTCTTAGGGTGTGAGGGTATTCAGCTGGCCCTGAGTGGGCAGGGGGACGAGGGACCTGGGGGGCTCTTCAGTCTTCGGTTTTGCATGAAGCCTTGGTGGCAGCAACATTGCACCCGCCAGTATGCAGACCAATGCATGAGCCCCTTGCTTGGTGCCCCACATGAAGCCAGACCATGGGGAGGTTGCAACCAACTTGTGTATTGCCTTGTAGTGTCTTGCTGACTCTTCTCTTTTCTCTTGTCAAATATAGGGATCACTTTTTAGGAGACTGGACACTGCAAACAGGCACTTTAACTTGCTTATTTTCAGCTGAGCTAAACTGCTGCATTTGCTTAACCTATGCCTGTGTCCATTCTCCTTTGAGTGTACTGTCTAACTGTGCACTCTGTCTTCCAACTTTCTACTATGAAAAATGCTTGTTCCACAGTGGGGTAAGAGTTCACATACCCAAGACAGAAAAGATAGACTAAATCTTTTTTTTTTTTCATCTTGGTAAGGGCCCAGCCACTGGTACACAACTCTGGAGACCTGGAGAGAAACAACTACAAGGCTCTTCAGAATTATTCTTAGTTCTCTCAGGAGCTCCCTAAGGGGAAGAGACCTCCATGTAATAATTTTCATCTAGTGAATTAGCAATGTCATTTATTCTGAAATAGTAGACAAATTGGGCCCCAGTGTTTGCTTGTGATTGCAAGTGAGCAATTTAAAGTTTCTTTTAATATTTACACAAGTGCATAATGTCATGGGAGGGAAAAAGACATCCAAAAACATTAGCTTTTCTGTGTTTCAAGTTGTTTTGGCAAATGCCTCTGTGTGAGCTGATTACTTTGCTCTGGAACTAGCATTGCTGTCATTATCATTGCCTTTCTCTCATCATCATCTGATTAATATTGTGGATTTTTCTCCCCTTCTGCTTGTATCTTGTTTTGATGCACTTTGGAAGAAATGTCAAGAAGAGGAGATTCGACCCTACTCAGCAAGGCCCCATCTGAATCAACTGCTCTGGAGGGAATGCCACTTTGCGCTGTTGGGTTCTGGGTATGACATACTTGTAACCACGTTGCCGGAACTATTAAGTCTGTAAACAAGACCATTGGGTAGTAATGACTACAGAGCTAAAGTTGGGGTGACAGGAATGGGGTAAAAGAAAACTGTCCCTTTTGGAAATAACTTCAAATAACCTCTCCTACCACCTGTCAATAAAATGGGGGTAAAAGACCATGGCATAAAAGGAACCGTTCATTCTTTTTTTTTTTTTTTTTCCTAACTAAAGGAGAAAGGAACAAAAACAACAAAATAAGTGCAATAAAAGAACCATTAAAAATAGCAAATGATTTTTCCCCCTCAGCCTGCTGGGCACTTACTATCTTCTAAATGATTTGGCATGATTTTTTTTCCTTTCACTGCCAATGACAGACTTCAGTGGCGTGAAGATCCAGTTTTTGAAAGGTAAAAGCTGCATGGCATAAATACTGCAAGCTAGCCAGCCAATCCTCAGCAAACCCTGCGTGGAATTCCTAAGGGGAAGATGACAGATGGGCACGTGGAAGCTGCCTGGGTCTCCTTAACTCTGGCCTGTGCCTGTCCCTTTCTCACTCCCTAAGAGTCCCACTGCCCTCCTAGACCAGCCCATGGCAGAACTCGGAAGGACCATACTCTTGTTGATTCACTTTTCCCATTATTTTTTTTTCTCCTGGACCAAGCATCCTTTGGAAATGGGAGCTGGAATTTGAACAATGATGCTATTGTATAGTCCTTTTATAAATGGAAGTGTAAATATGGAAACGAGATTTTGACACATCATTTTCACTTGTCTGTATTGAAATCTTTTTTCTTGTAAAGATTCTCTGTAAATTTGAGTTTATTGCTTGCTCCCTATCTTCGTTTTCTTTTTTTTTTTCTTCCTTTTCTTCTCTGTGTCTGTTCTTCTCTCTTGAACATGCCCAGTGATTGTTGGGCTTGCTTAAAAAAGACAGATGTAACTACAGATGCTGGGAGGTTGAGCTCAAAACAGGTGCAACTTAAAGTTAGTATGTTTGAAACCAAAATAAACAAGAGTGTTGGAGGGAGACACAAACAACAAAATAACCCATATCAAAACCACAGAATTATGTAAATGCAAATATATGTGTACTGACAAGTGAAAGATTGTTGGTGTCATTAGAAACATATGTATATAATATAAGAAAGTAGACACCCTCTCAAATTAATCACAAAAGTGCCAAGCTCATAATTTTAGTTTTTTGTTTGACAATTTTCTTTCCCTGTCTTCAATGTGAAAGGAGGACAAACTTAAAGCCTTAAATAAAACAATAATTTTTAAATGTTGGAAGCTTGGAAAAAAGTTAAGCTTTCCATTTTATTCACATCTATTACTGTCAATATTCCATACATGCTTCTTCCTGCCTCAGAATCTATATGGTAGAAACCCGTTGTGAACGTGGAAATAGGGAGAGAAGTGGCAGGTGGTCTTCTTATCAGCATTATTGTTTCAGGCTGTAATTCTGTGTGTGGAGTTTTTAAGAAACCTTGGTTGGCCCAGTTATTTGCTGATCCATGAAATGTTGTGCTGGGCTACAGTGGAATTCCACTGTATACAGATTCACATTCTTCTTTTCCCTCCAAGCAGATTTGCAGACTTAATCTTAGAGTTCCCAAGTTCCTCTGAGTTTCTTTCACTTTCACCCATTTCTTCTCCAGTTTATGGTCAAGGTAGCTTCCACTCAAGTGCAGAGCGAACAAGTTAACAAAGAAATTTGGTTTCAGCTTTGTTTTAGATGGACAGACTTGTACATAGTAACTTTGGTGAGCATCCTTCTAGAGATGCTCCCAAAGAACCCCTATTTCTATGTTATCCTCCTGTTTTTTTGGAACGAGACATGCAGTTGGACTATGCATTTCTTCCTGGCACTGAACCAATTTCTAGATTTAGCTGTAAGTCCCTTTTCACTAAGATTCATGACATCATTTTTACCACTTTTTCTTTGACTTTGGACTTAAAATAGTGGGATTTATCCCTCCAAGGTATCTTTAAATTATAGAAGTATCACAATCATAGAGCAGAAACCTTAACTGCTATATGCTACCGTAGACCATAACCTAACATCTCAATCCTGTTATTGCTTTCTGAGTAATAGGTGCTACACAGGTATGCAGTCTTTCTCTAGAACTTGCTATATGTTTATATGGTAATAACAGGGCTATCTATAAGGTTTATCAGCCTTACTCCTGGTTTCATAAAGACACAGGTTATACCCCTTCACTTAATGACAATGGTTCTTTCAGCTTGGAGGAAGGTTGGAGGAAACTCAGATTACTTGGTATCTCTCCCTGTTGCTGCATCGCTTGATGGGTCCTCTTCACTAGGAGATACCAAGCCGCTGCTAATGACACCATACACATTTCATTACCGTTTCAGAGGCACCATGGTGACTTACAGACACAAAACCATGCCAGTTACAAAACAAATCTCTATTGTTAACTTTTGAGCATTTCACAAACAACATTGTAAATGTGCGATGTTATGTTTTAAATCAGACCACAGTGGTCCCCAAATATTATGTACATATGGCAAATGTCTGTGTAACTTTTTGTTACACTGGCAGTTTCATAGGTAACCAAACCTATGTTCCAATGTTAAATTACTTGTGTGTATATGTAAAATACACAAGCTTTAAGCTATGAATATGAAAGATAATGCAACCATATTGTAAACAATGGGATATAATTTTTTGGTGGTATTAGGTTATATAGTTTCAAACCCTTTGCTGTATTTTCTCTTGCACATGCCATTCATTTGCAGATTTTTTTGTGGTGTAAATACTCCTTTTTATTAATTTGAGCTAAAAGCACAAGAATTTCACTGTTTAATGTTACCCAACAAGAGTGTTAAGTGATGACCAAATTCCCATGTCACCTGCTATACTCTTGCTGCGATAATAAATGACACCTGGATGAGGAGCTGTGCGCTAACTTCATTGCTCTCCTGGGATAGTGCATGAGGCCACTGAATTAGAGCTACTCCTACTAGATAAATGAGCAGTACACATAGGTGCATGTTACGAACCATGAATCACATAGAGCTATGGAATTTTACCAAGTGATGTGTGTGGTTTTGTTTTGTTTTATTTTTTACTATGCAAAGATGGGGAATGCACAAACTTTTCAGAGACTTATGTCTAAAGAACTTTACAAACAATACTTGAATTCTTTCTTTTGTCATCCCATCATGTTTTATACTCATTGTTGCTTCTACTGTTAATTTTCATTTTTAAATGGTTTGTAATTTTTTAAGCATACAACCTGAAGTTTCATTTGAAGTTAATAAATTCATTCATATCTTTTTGGCTGCCTATGAATGGAGAGTCAGTAGTCATTGTATGCATCTTTGAGTCAAGTGTATATTAAAACTTTTGGTAATGTAGAATGTTGTGACTTTATGATTTGATCATTTTTCTTAAACCCCTTTTCTGTGTTCTTTTGCATTGTTGATTAATTGGCATGAGCCTGATATCATTAGAGTTTTAGCACCAGTTTCAATCAAAGGCTTCCTGACAATTTAAGCAGTCAGTGGAACAAAATAAAACTCTCTAATTAATGACAAATATATGCCTGATTAGGATTCAGTTTTATTGTATTCATTGGAAATTATATGCTTCTTATGAATCAGAAAGGAAAAAAACCCTTAGGATCATACCATTATTGACTTTATTTTGTTTTGTTAGCATCTCTTTTCTGAGTTTAAAGAGCAGATGGCTACTAACAACATCCACACTTTGATTTGGTACCAAATTTACAATCAAGCTATGAGAAAACGGAAAAAATCTGGTTATGTACATTACACTATTAAAAGCAGTCAAAGTGTGAGCATTTCCTCACAGCTCACATGAAATTGGTCACCAAGTTACATCCCTTCTTCATGAATGTCAACATGTCTCACCTCCATCCCCACTGCCATGCCTTGGTTTGACCTCAAAAGCCACAGGTATCTCATATATATGTGAGATACTACATTGCCACAAAGAAATGCTGACTGCATTCCTTTGATGAAAGTCTAGCAGGGCTCTTCATTTCCTGTAGGGTACATTCCAAATGTAATAATACAACTTAAAGTTCTGCCTGCCTTTCATGACCTCACCCCTGTTTATTTTCTAGCCTTATTGACTCTCATCTTCTCTTACTCATCTTACTTAAAGTTCCCCCTAAAAGAGCCTGTTCTACCCAAGTCTGAATAATCTTCTTTAAATTTTATGTCCATTGTCCATAGTTCATTTCTTTTAACGTCATTTCATGTAATACAGAAATACTTAAAAATAGCAAAAATATACTTAAGAAAGCAAGCATATTAGAGTGTCATTTACTTTTGACTTTAAAGGAATGATCTGTTTTATGTTGTCCTTTTAGTCATTCTGTTTTTGATGTTGACATTGAAATGAGGTCTGTTCCATGCTCCCTTAGTATCTGATTGAGAAAGCTGACCCAGAAACCAGTAACTCACTAGGTAATAGAACAGCTGTTTTGGAGTTTAAAACTTGCTGTGAATTATTAAATGAATTATCTATGTGCTCCTAATGGAATTTCTGAATAAGTTAAAATTCAAGGTGGGTGTCCCTTAGCTTAATGTGCAGGAGTGAGGGGCTTCTACTCATTAATCTGTTCACTGAATTATTAAGCCTCAACTCTATGCCAGGATCTCCTAGAAACTGAAGGAATAAAATAATATTCTTGGCCTAAAGTTCATATTTTAATAGCAAGGGACATTTAAAAAAATTAAAATCCCTGAGCCCAAAGTATTGAGTAAACTAAGCTATTTAAGAACTGGGAGTAGAAAGAGTGTGGTGGGCAGGTAAGAAAGGGATGTAGGAAGCCTTCCTAAAAGAATTAAGTTTTGGAACTATATTGAAGGGCTTGGGGCATGGCTCAAGTGGTAGAGTGCCTGCTTAGCAAACCCCAGAACTACCAAAAAAAAAAAAAAAAAAAAAACCAAAAAGAT